TGATACCAGCTGGAGCAAACAAAGTGCTGGCCATGAATTTAAACAGATGATTAAGGAGGTAAGATATTGAGAGCCAAAGCGGAGTCAGAATAGCCCCTGGCATTTTGCCAGAAGTAATGGTTTAGAGGCGAGCCATTAAGATGATGCTGGATTGATTCTATTGTATATTAGACCTTTACTGTCCGGTAATAGGATGGCTCTTGCTGCGTCCAGCACCGGCTACTTTGGAGTTCCTGTTGAGTTCTCACCATTCTGAGAGTGAATGCATGCTCAGCCCAGGGGGGAGGGAGTTCTGGTTGGTGTGGTGTGTCCTGGAAGAAGGCTGCATGGGTGGCATACATGGGAGTTCGGAAATAAAGTTTGTTCCTGCTTGAGTGGCTCCTGATTTGTGCCCAGCCAGACTGCAGCAGTAAGATATTCAAATAATACTTTGAAAATTCTAATATATTTCTAGGGATCCAAAAATCTATGATATGCTCAAGAAAGACCAAGGAAGGTTCCCAATCTCTTGCTGACTTTGAAGCCATATATAGGCAGGAAGTAAGTACCAAAAAAGGGTTGTAAACTGCCAGGTGACTGAAGGTACACTCCTTGACAATGGGTCAAAGTTTGCTAGGTAAAGGGGCTTAGGAAATCTTTGTCCAAGCATTATGAATCACTAACTGCAACTTTTCAGTTTCTTTATATGTTTTATGCTTTAAAAATTTACTTTTTAGCAACATTATTTGGTAATTCTGAAAAGTAAAAATTCTGTCCTCCAAGGTTTGTTGTTGTTGTTGCTGTTTGTTTTAGTGACATTCCTGGGATGATTCTGTAGTCTGTATTTCCTGTAACATGCAGCCAACTGAAATCTTTCTTCAGTTAGTGACACTTTAGGGAATTCTGACCAATAACAAAGAGGACTGGAGTCTTCATATCCAAGAGGGGATCATCCACATCCTATAAGGGGTATAGGGTTAGATCTGCCCAGTTCACAATCACGCAGAACTGACCCAGCATGTACGAGGATGTGTTCCTGATGGCCCTGTCCCCACTGTCAATGATCCCTGCTGCCAGCTTCACCTTACTCTTACCCCCCGGGGGCCATACACAGTGAACAGAGGAAACCCAAGGCAGACAACGGCAGTGATATATTCCATGATTGACACCTTTGGACAATGGCACAGTCTGTCTGCAGGAAGGTGACTTCAGTGTACCTCAGCTTACCCAGTGTCCAGGGGATTGGCAGACCCACCAGCCATTCCCTCCTCCCCTTCCTCTGTCCTAACACAATGTGTGCTCTCCCATGAGAGCTACCATGAAGGTAAGTCAGGTCCTCAGATGGCACATGATGGGAGGTTTCTCACTTCAACCTTGTCAGCCTGCTAGGCCGAGACATCATCACTTTTCTCCACCAAGAGTTCATAAAATGGTAAAGGCATTGCCTTTCTCCCTTAAGTAGAATAGAACCTCTCTGCTCCAGACATCCCAGATTTTGTGGTACAGTTGCTGATTTCACGTCCCTGGGAGCAGGAGTCAGGTGGATGTGTTCTTCCTCTCTGGGCTCTAGGTTTCTACTCCACTAGACTGGACAGCAGTGGGGCTCTGGACATGTCAGGGGCACTTATGCAAACTAGTGGACACACAATGTAAAACAAAGGAAAAACTCCTCAATATCTTATAAAGGGACAGAATATGAACATGACATGAAATTCTAGAGCTATTGATTTGTGCCTATGAGATTTATTTTTTCAGTTGGGCAAATTAAATGGTACTCACATGTGGGAAAAAAAAGTAATTCAGGAGTTGTTTTTTATTTTTGTTTTATTTTTTGAAATGCTGATTGATGTACATAAATAAAATATAATATATTGGAATTTCCTTCAAATTAACCTGAGTGAGAAAGGAAGCAGGAAGGGGAAAGATGAAGCAAGCCTACCATGAGTTGCTTATAGCTAAAGTTGGGCAAGGGGCCCTTTGGTGTACTTACTAGCTTCTCTCTACTTTGGGTCCTGCTGAAATTTTTCCATAATAAAGTGAAAAAAAACCACTAAAGTTTGTTTTCTACAGTTTAAAAGGCAATCATCAGGTAAGCATCTAGCACTGGGCTTGAAACACAAGTCAAGGCCTTGATGACCATCATAAGCAAGCAGTACTGCCCCCCAAGACACCTCCAAATAAGACAGAAACCACTTACCTGACAGGCCACCAAAGCTCCCATGTTCCAGCCAATTAAAATGATGGGTTTGTGTGGGAAATGGCGGTGAATCTTCACAGGAAGGGAAAGAAGACAGTCAGAAGGAGGCTCCAGACAGGTATAAACACCCCAGCACACTGGGTGTACCAGGGTCACCCGGGGTTTGCCAGGGTCACCCGAGACAGGGTCATTCTCATCTCCAAAACTTTACTTCTCTCTGCCCCGATCATATGCTCAAGGCACTGCAGAAGGCCTACTCCACTGCCATTTTTTGGCAGATGGGTGGTGACAGGGATGGCCTAAAGGAAGGAAGGGTGCCATGCCAAAGTGCTAGGTTCAAATCTCTCCATTCTACTTAACCTATTCTGAATCCCTCAACCTTGCAGCAAGTGGCATCTGAACACCAATTAAGAGTCACAGGATGCTCTACATTTCAAGTTCATCCATTTTTACACCCTCCTGTGTTTCTTCTCTTCCATCCTCCTAGATCTTATTCCCACGTGGAGACGTCCTCTTGCCCCCCTTGCCTAAGCAGCACAGCTGAGATTTCCAGAAGCGGTGGTGGCATGAGGTGGGGAATGCAGAGTTAGAGGGACATGAGGAGGTGATAAGAATCAGAGGAGAGCCAGGGAGTTTCCTCTGCAAAAAGAAAATCCCACCTGGTGAGTGAGAGGCTCACCCGCAACCATCAGGAGTGGCTTTTATGGCTGGTCACCCAATTCATGACCCATTGCTTACAGAACTATGTTAGGCACTAATAAACAAGTGGTTAAGGGAAAAGGTTACACCTTCCTCCAGCCAGGGCTACAGGCTACGAGTCATAACATCTCACTGCCACACTTAAGCCTGAGCCCCTCAACTCACTGGCTTGTCATGAGGAAGCACCCCTGCAACAGGGTCCCAGGGCCTTTTCAGCAGCAGCAACAGGGCCTCAGTTCCTTTGGCTCCAGTCTTTGTGTTGGGAGACACCAGCATGCGGTCAATCAAGGTTGGGATCTAGAAAGACAAAGTTTGAGATGCTTTAGTGTGGCAAAGGTACAAATAAGTGGCTACATGAAAAGTAAGCTCCCAGCATGCAAGGACAGTGTGTATGCTCCTTTTGAAATCAATCTGGTGAAATGCATCTGGATCCTAAGTTTATCCACATCCCTGTACCAAACGATTTCACTAGAGAACCTTCTAAAATGAATTATATCAATCCAGGCATGGTGGAACACATCTGTATTCCCAGCACCTTGAGAGGTAGAGGCAGGAGGATTGTGAGTTCAAACCAGCCTCACCAAATGAGTGAGGCCCTAAGTAACTGAGCAAGGAGAACCTGTCTCAAAAATTTAAAAAGGCCTGGTGTGGCTCAGTGGTTAAGTGTCCCTTGGTTAAATTCCTGGTTCCAAAACAAGAAAAATTATATCAAAAATAATATATATCCAGTGACATATTATCTGTTAATAACAATCAAAATACATAAACAATCTAAAGGTATATGTTAGGGAGCAGTTAAATAATTTATCCACCTGACTGAATATCTAGGATTCTTTTCTTTTTTTTGGTACCATTGATTGAACTCAGGGATGCATAAAGACAGAGACACATCACCAATTTTTATTTTTTATTTTTATATGGTCTTACTGAAGTTGCTTGAAGCCTCAATAGTTGCTTGAGGCTGGCTTTGAACTCAAAATCCTCCTGTTTTAGCCTCCCAAGCTGCTGGGATTTCATGTGTGTACTACCACACCCAGCATGGGTTAATTCCAAATACATACTAGACAATATACAACCCACAGAAATAATTAGCACCAGGCATGGTGGCCATGCTGCAATCACAGTGATGTGAAGGATGATAAGTTTGAGGCCAGCCTGAGCTGTGAGATTCTGTCTGAAAATGTAAATAAATAAAATGCAGTTCAGTGATACAGCATCCTTTAGTTCAATCCCTAGTACTGAGAGACATAGAGAGACAGAAAGAGACAGAGAAAGCAAGGAACAAAAGAATTTTGCTAAAATTCTACATGTAAAACAAAATATATAAAACAAAATATATACAGCACTATATAAAAAGCTATATGATGATATGAACATGCCAAATGTTCATAGAATTCCTGTGGAACTATGCATGACTTTTTCCTTATGAATTTCTGCATTTTCTAAAATTTCTAGTGACTATTTGCTGAAAAGAAAATATATATAATTTTTAAAAATTGCTTTTTCTGGGCTGGTATTTTGGCTCAGTGGCATAGCACTTGCCTTGCACATATGAGGCCTTTGGTTCAATCCTTAGGACTCCATAAAAACAAATAAACAAAATAAAGAAATTGTATCCTTATATAAATAAGAAAATTTAAATAAACCCTGCATTTTCTTCTAAAGTACAGCCTTCAAGTGTGGCTTGTTAATAAAGCTTATTATTATGTTCTAAAAACATATCCAACAATAGTGTATATATCATGAATTATACCATATCCTGTTCTTTTACTGTCCACCAAAGATGTGACCTCGCAGATGTATAAATATGAGTTTCAAATACACTGATGCTTACACTCCAAAGGAGTATCTGTGTGAATTCCAGACTGCCCACAGAGGTCAAAGTGATCTCAGGGAAAGGAAAAGGTTTTTACATGTTAGAGATCCTTTTCAGAAAGAAAGAAAAAAGATTTTTAAAGATTGTAGAATGAAAAGTATCAAGGTCTGATGGAGGTTGTTAGACTTCAGAGGGAGCAGGAAAATAAAATCCAGTAATGACATAAGCCAGGGGCTGTCAGGCCATAAGTCCTCTGGATTTTAGGCCCTGCACCTCATTATGGAGATGGTACAAAGACATTACACCAGATCAAATGTAAAAACAAGACATTGTCTCCTATTTTTATTAGCATACCTGCTAGCCATGCCCTCCAAACTGACCACATAAAGAATTTACCCAACCCCATGTCTGAATGCATCACAGGGACTGGTGGCCCCCAGCACAGGGCAGACACCAACCATAGCCTTCCCTTCTTTTTCAGTGTCTGCAAAGCATCCATGTAGGCAGCCAGCATGGGCAGACTCAAGGTCTCCACCAGGGTCGTGTGCAGCCACTGGATCATCTTGGTGTCCCAACTCTCGCTGGTCAGGGCCTGCCGCACCCGTCTTGCACACTTGTCCACAGCTTCATGATGCAGCACTGGCTCATTACAAGCCTGAAAAACACAAGAAGAAGGAACAAGAGTTTCACATAGTAAGCAAATAGGAGGTAGGTAGAAATCAGTCAGTCATAGAGGCCTGAACTAGGAGGAGCCCACATTGGAAGATTTCTGATTCCTTACCCCTTCATTGGCCAAGCGGGCAAGTTGGTCAGACTGCAGGCCTTTGAGGATCTTGTTGAATAGTGTGTTCTGGGCCACTGTCCAGTCAGCCCTAAAGGGAATATCTGAGACATTGAGGACATACCCTAGGGACACTCCTCATGTATGCACAACATTTAAGGAAAACTCTGTAATCTTTTTTGATCCCCTTCTGAAAGAGTACAACTTGACACAAGATTCTGTTCCCAATCCTGGCAATGAATCATCTCAGCACACATTTGTATATTCTCACCTACAAGTCAATACCAGTCAACGATGAAGTCTTTTAGTGCTACCAAAGCTAATTTTTTATCTAATAGCTAAAATACTTTAGCAAATGAAGATAGGGTACCAGCGTATAGAGAAATTTGAATTGCATAGGTTGTACATTTCACAAAACCTGAAACAGCAAAGCATTTCAGTATACCAAAACCTTAGATTATGGTAAAACTTCTACTTAAACCAGCTTTAAAAACAAAAATATGACAGATATGTGACTATTCTCCCGTCTCAATTCTACCCTACAATAATTTCTCTCCCTTTTCTATGCTTCTTAATTTTTCCTCTATGCCACAAAATTAGTAAACTTATGTCCTATATAAGTTAACATTTTGTTATCCCAGTATATGACACCACCATACACATGACCATCTGCTTACTGACAACTTTTTCTGTCCTCCAAATCAGCAGTAAACTGCAATCAGGAATCTACCCTACAGTTCTTAACCCCACATAAATGCACCCAGACAGAATTGTGGATCCTGTTAACCTGCCCATCAACCCACTCCTGGCAATCTGAATTAGGTACTCTAATTCAGACTAGGAAGCCTTCTAAAGATATGAAAACAAAGGCAATAGAAGAAAACCAATCAGATCCAGATACAGTGTAGCTCAGGAAACTGAGATAGGAGGATTGTGAGTTCAAAGTCAGCCTCAGCAACAGTGAGGCACTAAAAAACTTTGGACACCATATTTCTAAATAAAAATATAATAATAATAGGTCTGGAGATGTGGCTTAGTGGTCAAATTCAATTTCCAGGACCAAAACACAACAAAACAAAACAAAAAACCCACAAAAATACCAACTGGGTAATATTTGTTTACTGACTCTCCCTGCCATTAGGAAAAAACTACTTAATATTTTTTAAATATAAGTGATTGCTAGGCCTAAACAAGATTTATATCAAGGTAGTGTTTCTTATCAGTAAAAATAAAGTCAAAAATAGGGCTAAGATAACCACTAGCAAGGTAGAAAATAGTAATCAATCTACCTAGCCATATACCTATTTCAAATTCAGGTCTTTCTAAGAATGAAATAAAAAAAACATATAAAAAACCTAGAAGACAAAAAAGGAAGATAAATGTAGCTATATAAAAATTTCAAACCTCTGTAAAAGGGAATAAGAATTATAAAGTTAAAACATAGTGGGAAAATGCAGCTGCATTGAAATAAGAAAAATACTCCAGAGCTGGGTGTCGGGGCACCACACCTGTAATCCCAGCAGCTCGAGAGAATGAGGCAAGAGGATCATGAGTTCAAAGCTAGCCACAGCAATGATGATGTGATGAGCATCTCCCTAAATAAAATACAAAATAGGGCTGGGGATATGACTCAGTGCTTTATTGTCCCTGAGTTCAATCCCTAGTACCAAAAAAAGTAAGAAACAAAGATACCCCAGAGGCCAATGTGGTGACACCTGTACTCCCAGGATTAGGGAGGCTGAGTGAGTCAGGAGGATCTAAAGATCAAAGTCAACCTTATCAACATAGGAAGACCTGTCGCAAATAAAAAACAATGGCCCTGCTTAGGGGGGTTAAAACTCCAGAACAAAAAAGGCTCCAGAAAATTAATACAATAAGAAGTAAAAGCATACTGCCTGGGGCCATAGCTCAGTGACAGAGCACTTGCCTAGCATGTGTGAGGCACCAGGTTTTTCCTTAGCACAACATAACAAAAAACAAATAAAAATAAAGTCATGCTGTCCATCTACAATTACAAAAATTCTTTTAAATAGAGTAAAGTATTAAGCTGGGTGTGGTGGTTCATGCCTGTAATCCCAGTAGCTTGGGAGGCTGAGGCAGGAGGTTCGTGAGTTCAAAGCCAGCTTCATCAAAAGTGAAGTGCTAAGCAGCCACTTTGTCAAACAGTCCGGCAGTTTCTCAGAAGCACAGAGTTCATATACATATGATCCAGCAATTCCTTTCCTAGGTACTTTACACATACATTCACACAAAAACTTGTACACAGGGCCTGCTGAGGTAGCTCAGTAGAGCGCTTGGCTAGTGTGCACAAGGCCCTGGTTTCAATCCCCAGCAAAACACACACACACACACACACACACACACACACACAATTGTACACAAATGTTCACAGCATCATTTTCATAACAGCCAAAGCAGAAACAACCTAAATGCCCATCAGTGATCAGTGGACAAATAAAATATGGATTATCTAATCAATGGAATGTCAGTCAACAGAAAGGAGTGATGTAACATGGCCTAATAAGCATGACCCTTGGAAACATTCCACCAAGCACAGCCAAATCACCCACCATGGAAAACATGCAGTTCACAATCCCATACACTCAAGTCCAAAAGAGGCAAATCTATGTCAAAGAGTGCACTGGTGGCTCCCAGGGACCAGTGAAGTCAGGAGGAATGGTGATTGAATGATAATAGGAATAGAGTTTCTTATTGAGATGATGAAATAGTTCATCAAACTCACTAGGGTGTTGAGGGCATAACTCTGAATTTACACTAAAAAGCACTGGTAGTACACATAAACTGGTGAATTACAGGGTGTGTAAATAAACATCAATAAAGTTGTTATATAAAAGGGAAATGTTTGCTAAACAAAAGAAAAATGGAGGAATGCTGATTCTGTTGGAGGCAGGGGCAGGGAAACAAAACTAGCCAGCAAATTCAGGAAAATGAATGTAAGTATCCCTCAAAACCAGAGATTGCAAATCTTTGTTTGTATATTTGTTTGTTTGAGAATAGTGGGGATTATACCTGAGAGCTCATGCCTGCTGGGACATACTCTAGTACTGAGTTGTACTCTCAACACTTTCTTTTTAAATTTTAGGACAGAGTCTAATTAGCACAATGCTGACCTCAAACATGTAGACCTCCTGTCTCAGCCTCCCTAGTAGCTTATATTACAGACATGCCACCACACCCAGTTGTAAATCTATTTTTAAAGCCACTCAAAATATCTCTTGGATTTTCATATGATTCTAAAACATTTGCACTCTACTAGCTATAGACCACAAAAATGTAAAATCATACAAATGTACATTTAATTTTCGGTAGTCTGGGTGAGCCCTATATTGTAACGCAAGCTATAGAACTAGCCACACCCATCAAATTAAATTAATTTTTTTATTCCACAAACTCTTTTAAAGACAGGATTCTTAGCTAGGCACAGTAGTGCACACCTGTAATCTCAACAATTCAGGAGGATCACAAATTTGAGGCAAGTCTCAGCAACATGAACCATGTTGCCCAGGTTAGAGTCAAACTCCTGGGCTCAAGCAATCCTCCATGGATTATTCTGAGCTCTGAAAAAACACTCTGCCTATATGCCTACTGTATGCCATGCAATGCCATAGGGAGGCTGAGATGGCAGAGATGCAGGCTATACTCTCAATGAGCTCACAGCACAGCAAGCTGACAGTCATGAGACAGAGTTAGGAGAAAATTCCCATTTATGTAGCTCCAATAAATGTCTCGTTAAAGAGGATGAAAAAATTATTATAGGATGGGTTATTATTATTAACCCATCCCTCTGAGGAGTGGCCTACTATTGACATGCTCCTCCCAGTGCTCTGGTGGATGAGGGGCATCTGCATCAGGCCTGGCAAAGATGACGTGTCATTCACACTCGTTCATCATGCAGCACACCTTCTGGTTGTCATAGAGTTGCATGGGAGACAACGTGACCATCTCCAAATCTATTGGGACATCTGATTCTATGTAAACAGGTGAGGAAATGAGACAAGCCTACAAATACTGCAAACAACACCATGGTTAACAATCACCTGGTTACCAGAAAATGTCTCTTTAACATAGTCTGATTTACATTGCATAAGCACATTATCGCCACAAAAATTTTTGATCCTAAGTCATCTTTCTCATATTTTTCTAGATCTCTTCCCTCTCTGTGGTATGTACTGAAGGAATATAAAACGAGATAAAAGTTTAAAAAGTGAACAATAGCTTTTAAAAGAAAGATATATTCCTTAAGCAAATAATTAATTACATAAAGGTAATTATTATTACAAATACAGAAGCTATAAGCCACATGAAACTACCTAAATAAATTGAAATTAAATAGTGTCAATCAATTTAAAATCCAGTTCCTAATCACACGAGACACGTTTCTAATGCTCAGCAGACTGGCCACCAGATCAGACCACACAGGATTACAGCATTTCTATAACTGCAGAGTTCTGTTGAATAGCACTGGTCTAGAGTTTTAAATGATTCATTAGTAAATCAACTTGTACTTAACTATATGATTGTAAAAGTCTGTGATTATCTAGCATCACCTGTCATGCAGACAGCTTCTATCTAACTCATTTTGTGCAGTGCCTACAACTAAAATGAACATAAATGGATCATTGAAGGATCTTTCACATTTTAAAATGATGCTAATAGAATTTTAGTACCATTGGGATCCTTCCCCAACACCTTAGGTACACTGTACAATCTTTGTTGCCTGAAATACCATGCAAATCAATTGGGTTTACTAGCTATCTCCTCAATACCATATTAAATTTTTGACCTCGATGATCTCACTGCACCCATTCCCAATGACTGAAAAAATCACATCATTGTTAAATGAAGTGAATAACTGTGCAGTAGATTTGGTAGTGGGAATAAGAGCTGATTATCTTCTCATATCAGAAACTGAGTGAACACTTGTGGACATGTGTGCCTACAAGATTACTCTTGATTTTGGCATCTGAAACCTATACTCCCTAGGTCTCCCCAATTCATGGTAACATCCAGCTACTCAAGCCAAAGATCTAAGAAGGATCCTATTTGAACCTTTTTCTTTATACTGTTCCCATCCCTTTCCAGACTATCATGATGTCTAGCTCATCTCAAGCTACTGCAGAGGCCTCACTGCTGGTATTCTTAACCCCACTCTTATACTATAATCTACTTTTTAAAAATCCAAAGTGATTCTCTAAAAATACAAATTGGATCCCTAGGTCAAAATTCTCCAATGACTTCATACCACTCATAATCAACTGAGATTTCTTCTGCCAACATCTCTCTACCTCCTACTTACAACCCACCTGCCACTATATTCCAGCCACAATGGCCTAAAATTATTTCCTGCAATATGCCAAATTCCAATTTTCAGGGTCTATGTATATGGCAACAGGGTTTATATGAGGAAATAGTTTTCTAACTACCAACAAAATGAACTCTACAGGACCTCACTTTAAGAAAAAAACTGTCACAAAGTCAGGTGTGGTGGCACACACCTGTAATTCCAACTGCTAGTGTAGCTGAGGCAGGAGGATTAAAATTTCAAGCCAAACCATAGCAACTCAGGAAGACCCTGTTATAAAATTTTCAAAAAGTGTGGGAGATGTACCTCAGTGCTTGCCTAGCATGGACAAAGCTCTGGGTTCAATCCTCAGAACCTCAAAAATAAAGTAATATAATGAGGCTGGGGCTGAAGCTCAGCAGTAGCAACCTTGCCTGGCATATGTGTGGCACTGGGTTCAGTTCTCAGCACTGTATATAAATAAATAAAATAAATGTCTATCAAGAATTTAAAAAAGAAAAAAAAAGAATTAAAAAATAATATAATGGGGTATGAATCCAGGAGTTTCAATGTCAGCAAGAAGCTTTACATAACAAAAAGGAAAAGATTTTAAATGCTTTTTACAGGGGCTTTTCAGTTATGCCTTAGGAGAGAGAGGCATCAAACTTACACTTTTAGCACAGTGCTCCATATCTATAGACAGCCCCAGGAGGGTCACTGGGGTGCAAGATTTGGATAGTAACCTGGGCAACATAGAATTACTCCCCTTTCATTGAATCAAAAACAAAAACAAACCAAAAATAACAAAAGACAGTCTGAATCAAATGTTAAGGAGGCCAGGAACCCTGGTGCATGCCATATAATCCTTGGAGCTCCTGAGGTTGCCGCAGAAGGATAACAACCTCAAATCCAGCCTCAGCAAATTACCAAGGCCCTACAAAACTTAGAAAGACTTATCTCTAACTAAAAATTTTAGAAAATGGGCTGGAGATATGGTTCAGTGGTGGAGTGCCCCTGGTTCAATACCCAGTAACAAAAACAACAACAACAACAAGAATAACAAAGATTATGCTAGATATTCCCTAAAGTCACAGGTCCTATGTCTTATACAACAAAGATTTCTAACATCATTGGGAAATGAATCGCAAACCACAATTCTATGTGTATTTAAAACACATCATGGGTTGCTATATTTTGAGCCTGAGTTCAAACCCCAACACTGCAAAATAAAAGGAAAAAAATTAAAAAAAAACACATCATGGTCCCTCTAATTCTTTAAGAATCAAAGGTGGGGTGAAGTAGAATATAAAGGGCAAAATACAAGGCAAAATAAAAGATTTCTATCTCCAAAGAAACTAAAGCCTCTGCTTAAGGAAAGATTTAAATTAGGTAAAATTATAACCAGTGTCCAAGAGATTAGGATGTCTGCTTTTCTACCTTTTCTCAGGAAAGTTATTCAGTGCAAATGTTGACACTGAGGCCTGATATTTGTATATGCTCAACAGAAATGCACAAATTAATCATCCAACCTTCCCATATAAGTACCCACCAATCATCCCTCCAAAAATCCACTCTAATCCTTACCTGCTCAGTTCTGGCAACAGTAGCCTTTAGGAAAGAATCCCAAACTCACATGGTATTCTGATGCTGCCTCAGGGGAGTGACAAAGAGCATGCAGGTGGGGTGGACACGACTGGCATCTGGGTGAGCACTCCATGGCTTCGCATAGCTATGGTCCAGAAAAAAACAGGTCCTCTGGAGGAGGAAGGGTATCTACCTGAAGCCTGGCAAAGATGACATGCCAGTTGCACTCATTCATAGCACTGTACACCTTGTTGTCATAGAGTGGCATGGGAGTCAACGTGACCATCTCCACATCTATTGGGATATCTCATTCACTGTAAATAGGTGAGGAAATGGGACAAGCCCCACACATACTGAATACAACACCATGGTTAATAATCATCTAGTTACCCAAAAATGTCTTTTATATTGAATAAGTACCTTATCACCACAAAAAAATTATCCTAATTCATCTTTCTCATCTTTCTCTCTAGATCTCTGCCCTTTTTGTGGTACATGCTGAAGGAAATAAAATCATTTAACATGATATTAAAAAGTGACCAACATCTTTGTGAAGAAAGACAAATAATACTGGTCACAGTGGTCCATGCCTGTAATCCCAGTGGCTCGGGAGGCTAAGGCAGGATAATCACAATTTCATAGCCAACCTCAGCAAAAGTGAAAAACTAAGCAACTCAGTGAGACCGTGTCTCTAAATAAAATACAAAATGAAGCTAGGGATGTGGCTCAGTAATTGCAGGGACACTTACCATTGAGCTACAATCCAGCCCTTTTTATGTTGAGACAGGTTCTCCCTAAATTGTGGAGGTTGGCCTTGAAATTGCTACCTCCCAAATTGGTGGAATTACAGGCATGTGAAATCATACATAGCCTGTGTGGCAATCTTTTTTTTTTCTGTTACCAGGCATTGAACCCAGTAGGTACTTAACCACTGAGCAATATCTCCAGTCCATTTTTTATGCTTTCTTTTGGGACTTGCTATGTTGCTGAGGCTGGCTTTAGACTCACAATCCTCCTTCCTCAGCATCAAGAGCCATTGGGATTACAGGCACATGCCAACGTGTCCTGCTGTATGTGACAATCTTTTAAAATCAAGATCTCAGCATTTATTTTCATCAATTTAATCCTTTTCAATTTCTTTTCCCTATATAAGACTTATCTAAGTGGACACACTTGTCTATTTTCCTTTACATGTCTTGCTTTTCTAACTTTTCTTAGGACAAGTCTTCAATGCAAATGTCCACATTTAGGCCTGATATTTGTATGTGCTCATCACAGATGCCCAAATTAACATCCAACCTTCCCACACAGCACCTTCCCAGTCATTCCCATGAAAGTACTTTCTTCTCAGTTCTAGCAGTAGTAGCCTTTAGGAAAGAAACCCAAACTCACATGGTATCCTGGTGCTGCTTCAGGGGAGTAACAAAGGTCATGCAGGTGGGGTGGGCACTACTGGCATCTGGTTTGGCATTCCATGGCTTGGCATAGCTGTGGTCCAGTAAAACTGGGTCTCACTCTCTTTCATGCACTGAAAGCTGGAAGAGCAGTGAGGTGCCCATGGGACAAGCTGAATTCTAGAAGTTCCTCTGCCCACCCCTGTGGGTCCTCTCAGTAAAGCAGCAGCAACTCAAGGCATGGATATCTGCATCCCAGTCACCTGCAGCAAAAAGTGTCCGTTTAAGTGAATTGGAATATTCTAAATTTCTAATGGGAGTCAACATGACCTGCTACAGATCCTACTGTCAATATATTGTACAGAACATCTTTGCCCATGCAGGGAGGGCTCCTGACATCCAAGAACCACCAGAAAAAAGTGACGGTGGGTACAAGTGGTTTGGCCAAGTTTGCTGTGGTTTCATGATGAGGAGTAGCCACCTGGATGGGTCTTGTGTCATTGTGGCCCCAGCCACCAGTTCCAGACCCCGTATGCACGTCCTGCCTTGAGCGAGGCCATGACTGTTGATCCTTCTCCAGGTCCAGCCTGCAGTTCACCCATAGTAGTCGGGCAACTAGCAGTTCTGAGCTTGGTTCTAGTGTGCTTGTTCGGTACTGCCTCCACGCCCTGGCAAGGAGGCACCAGGAAAAATGCCAAAGGATCAAGGCACCAGACAGGAGGGACAGTAAGCCACAAAGTCCAGCTTGGACTCACCTCCAGGGACTTGGTTCAAAAGAGAAAAGTCAGGAATGCAAGCTAGTTTCTGAAGCAGAAATTTCCACGACCTGCATGTTTAGCAGGGAAGAGGGAGGAGCACACAGAATGAGGCCAACCCAGACAGCCCCCCAATAACTGCCTTCTTCTCCTCAGCTGCTCCCTTTGCCTAAGTAAGCCCCATAGACCCAGAGCAGATGTGGAAAGGCGTGCACCAAACCCTCCTCCAGAGCAGCCTCCTTGGATTTACTCTTTAGGAATATGCATGTTAACTCATTATGTCCTATACAGGATTGAAAACTCAGGACCTAATAGGATTTATTAATGAGCCAGAGGTGAAGTGGTATGAGTGAGGCCCTAGGCTCATCCCCAGCAGAGCCAAAAATGTTAAAAATATTTTACTAGTTAAGAAATATCTCTTAACAGAATAAACAACCACAAAAAATAGGAAATTAATTTTAAAATAAATTAGTTAATTGTAATATAAGTTATGAACCCCAAAATAAATAAATATTCTAATAAATGAACTCTATTAAAAATAATTTCCAAGAACTGGATGAGGCTTATTGGTAGAGCACTTGTCTGACACACCAAAGGTCCTGGGTTAGCTAGGTATAGCACCACAAAATAAATAAATAGCAAAGCAAAAGTGTTTATGCAGTTTTTCTGAGTGTTGTTGGTCCTTCCAGGAAATATAGAGGGAAGTCAGTACCAGGGCTTTTTTCCTGAGGATTTTAAGGAATAAAGGAAAGGTAGTTGGAGGACATCGGGGGTGTGAGTGGAATCTCACCTCCAACATTCAACTTCCAGCAGGCAAGTCTTCAGCTTTCTCTTATCTCTAAATGAACAAATGCTGAGAGTACAACCCAAGTCATGAAGTTGTCACCTGTCAAGAACACAAACAGAAAATTAATCAATAAATATATGAGAAAATGTTCATCATATTGAGCAATTAGAGACATGCAAATAAAACTACTCTAAGCTATAATTTCACTCCAGTCAGACTGGAAGTTATTATGAAGACAAACAACAATTAGTGTTGATGAGGATGTGGGGGAAAAGGGACACTCATTCATTGCTGGTGAGACTGGAAAGTGGTACAGACAATATGGAAAGCAGTATGGATAATTCTTGGAAAACTGGGAATGGAACCACCATTTGAACCAGCTATCTCTCTCCTTGGACTATACCCAGAGGACTAAAAAAATAGCATACTAGAGAGACCCCGTGACATCAATGTTTATAGCAGCACAATTCACAATAACTAAACTGTGTAACCAAACTATAATCCCTTCAGTAGATGAATGGATAAAAGAAATGTGGCATTTCTTTTATCCAATGAACTTTTACTCAGCAATAAAAGAGAATAAAATCATGACATTTGCAGGTAAATGGATGGCATTGGAAAAGATAATTCTAAGTGAAGTTACCAATCCCCCCCTCAAAAAAAAGCCAAATGTTTTCTCTGATATAAGGAGTCTGATTCATATTGGGGTATGGAGGGGGCACATGGGAGGAATAGACAAACTCTAGATAGGGCATAGGGGTGGGGGATAGGGAGGAGACAGTGGTTAGAAAGGATGGTGGAATGTGATGAACATCATTATCCAAAGTACATGTATAAAGACATGAATTCATGTGAATAAACTTTGTATATAACCAGAGATATGAAAAAAAGTGCTCTGTATGGGTAATATGAATTTTAAACCATTCCACTGTCATGTATAAAGAAAAAAGAAAAAAAGAATGCAAATAGATTTCAATATGGCAATTACCATGAAGAGACACCCTGCCCCTAAGAGTTACCACTGAGCTGTTGGAGAAAGGGAAGTGACTGAAGCAGAGTGCTGAAAGACCAGTCAAGTCATCTCAGAGAGAGGATTGTAAGTCTGGAGAGGGCCCAGAGAGAGGGGAAAAATGACCATTTTCTTTAGCCCACACATTTCTTTCTTAAGTCTTAATATTGTATTCAATTGAAACTTTTTTTTGGTACTGGGTTTTTATCCCAGAGACCCTCTACCACTGAGGTACATCAAAGCAGGACCTCACTACGTTGCCCAGGCTGACCATGAACTTACAGTCAGTCTTCCTGCCTCCACCTCCTGACTCACTGTTTACAAACACATCACTGTACCTTGCTCAGTTACAAACTTTTCCTATTGGCCATGTTTTCAGTCAGTGGCTGGACATGGGGGGACAATGTGATAAAAGGGGTAAATGACTGCACCCTGTGAGCTCCAGCCTCCACATCCTACCTGGACTGCTCCTACAGACAACGAAGACCTCTTGGGCATAACTATGAAAATGATAGCCTATCAGAAGTTTATGTTGCCCAGTGCCAACATGCTTGGGTCCCTGTCTTCAAAGCCTCAGCACTTTCTGGTGAGGAACCTCCAGGTTGAAAGTCCCTGTGATCTGCCTGACATCTCTGCTGTGCTCCCCAGCCATCCCCTCCTGTTCATAAGACCCAGGTGAGATCCAGCTTCAGGTCTTGAGATCCTCATTGCAACCTCTGCTCCTCCAGGGGCCGTTCTGGAGAATGTCCACCTGTGGATGGGGCTGGAGAAGGTCTGGTGAAGCAGGTCCTAGTAGATGCTGGGAGGCAGAAGGAAAGGACTTCTCCTTCCAAGTCTTTGGATTGTTGACTAAACAAGAGAGGCTCCTGCAGTTCAAATCAAACTGTGAAGGAGAGTGTAAGCAGGGTGTGAGTGGCCCAGGGAAAGGTCTGCGATGCCATCTGAATTCTAGAAGCCCCTTCCATGCATTTCCACCTTCCCTCTCATTCATAGCCTACAGCTAAACATTGCTGCTACAGGTCAGTCTGCTTCCCAGCATGCCACCTGCCCAGGAGGCCCAGCCAGCCTTGATTTCTCCTCTTCCTGCATCCAGTCAATGGCCAAATCCTAGCTCTTCCTATCACCAACTGCCCCACTTCTCCCTTATCAGGCCCATTCCCTGCCTAGTGCCACCACCGTCACTTCCCTCGACCACACTGACAGACAGCCTCCTCCTGAACTCCCAGACACAGCTCTCTGCTTTCCATTCTCTTTGCATTTTTAACCCAGAACTTGTACATGCTAGGAAAGTACTCAACCACTGAGCTGAACCTCTAATCCTCCCCATTTATTTTTTAGTTAATATCGTCTTTCAAAACGGTCTGACCATCAAGTCATACACCTGCTTTAAAAAATCCCAGTATCTTGGGACAAAACCTTGAGCCTTACAATGGTAGCCATGGAGTCTCCATCTATCCACAGTTCCTAGAATGCTGTTTATTAGAACAACGTAAAGAAAATCCCCCATAGAAGAAGGGGAGCCTGAGCCCCCAATGTCTCCCACATCCTTTATCTATGGGTTCAGGTGAAGATGTGTGAAGGGGAAAACTCATGGGGAAAACTCCTGGGAAAAAAGTCAGGCCATAGGGAAGGTAACCATTGCAGGGCATCAGCATCACATTCAGATGACAATGGGAAATAACCCTTTCTTTATTAGGTAGGCTGATTGGGGCAGGTCGGGCAAGTGGACCAGTCAGGAGGTGGGCATTTCCTGCAGTCAACCAGTATGCTTGCTTCTTATCTAGGGTGTTTTCCAGTACTTCTCCTGCAAGCATTTACTGATCACCTACTGAGGGCGGGGCACTGTGTTTGGGACTGGAATACAGAATACCATGATTTGGAGCTCTGCATTTGAGGAGCAGGTGATCCAGAAGGGAGTGGGCATAGCACTTGAACCCAAAATCAGTTACACCAGGGAAAATGAGGGCTGGCAGGTCTGGGAGAACTATTAATGGAGACATGAAAATGCAGGTTCAGGCCCTGTCCCTGCTGGACCCCCAATTTGCAGCATCATGTCTGATCAATAGAAGGTTCTTTGTAAATACTTGTTAAATTAATTGGTGAATAGATGAACAAACAAAGGCAACAGGACAATAAATGATGGGAAGAGTGACTGAGTAATGAGGCTGAGGCAGCAGAGAGAACTCGAACAAGGCTCCATAAACCTTGAAGGAAGAGTCTACCAGGGAAAGATGGACAAAATGGAGAAAGATGAGTCAGGAGAAAGGAAGGAATTGTGTGTTCAAAAGCCTGAAAGCAAGAAGTGCCTTCATCTGTTGGTGGAACTTTAAATATGTGGATGACTGGTGGGGAGTCTTCCCCTTCATTCATGTGTGCTTAGTGGTTTTGATCTAGTCAATTCAGACCACCTCTAATTAACGGGTGCCATCAAGATCTAGCCATATATGCCACTTCCCTCTATGATCAGTATCAATGGGACAATGCTTCCAGTTATACAAAACAAAATATTCACATAGAGACTTTGACATAATTTAAGGAGCCATAGTTTCTATTGCTATATTGAACAATATCAATTCCATATACCTGAGTTCCAAAGTAAATGACAAAACTCTAAGTACCATGGGCAATATAAGGAACACAAGATATGGCCTATGAACTAAAAACAAAATGATGATATAAATAAATGCTAGGCCTTACCATCTGAGCTATACCATGTCTTTTTAAATGTAATCATAGGTTTCCTACTCATTCTGATAAATAAGGGGCCTTGGTCTCAGAGGGATTTAATATTCACTAAAAGTTACTCAGTGGATGCAGAACAACATCTCCCCAGACTGTCTTGTTGAGAACTGAGACACAGAAGTTGTTCTAGCCTGTTTTATATGCTGTAGGAAAATACCTGAGAAAGGCCAATGTATAACAAGGGATATAAATGTTGGCATGCTGTCCCAGCTATGTTGCTTCCATGGGTCCCTCCCTGGGGAAAGGGTGCCCACCTCACAGAGGATGGCCAGGGCTCCAGTAGAGGCTCACACACCGAGGATCACCTTAAAAATTCCTTTTAATGCACATCTCTGAAGTCCCACCTCACATCTGTGCCATGAGGGGCAGGGACAGATCTGTACCTCCCCTTCCTGCCTAAGGCCTCCATGACAGTGGAGACAAGGTTGACTAGGGACCCTTGGCAAGGCTTCAACTCACTGAAAGGTAGCAACCACAATCCATGATGAGATATATACCAGGGTACATGATCTAAGGCCACAGTGCTTCTAGCCATCCTGGACCCCAGGGCCTGGTGGGAAGGTGCAGCCTTGGTGGTAGTTTGTCACAGGACTACTGAATCTGACCCCCTCTTGGCCCGGCATCACGCATATTCCTCTTCTTTCCTCCACATGTGACACTGAGTGGCTCCTGGGCCAGCTCTGACCCATACCTGTCCTTCTCATTCCCCTGCAGGGTCCTTCTTATTCCAATGCCACTCTATCCACAAGTATTTGTGGCACAACACAATCTCAAGCAGGGAGCAGACACAGCATCCAGGCCACCATTCTTGGCCACCTCTATCCTGGCCACTGCCTCCCTCTCTGAAAGGATCTGTGCCAATATTGATCTCAGCAGCCTCATCAGGCATCCAGAGACCAAGTGAAGTGGTCTCTGCTGACTTATAGCTGAGCTGTTCCATCCAGCCTCTCTCCAAGAAGGACTCTAATGTGAGGTCTCCACTGGGTTGCTCCAAACTGGGGGCAACAGCCAACCTCAGAAGAGACCTTGATCTTTCATCTGGACAGAGGTGCTCCATTAGGAGGGTCTGAGGGAGGCTGTGGAGACAGTCCCAGCCCTGATCATCTTTTTCCAGGAAAGAATAATGGAGACTGATCTCTTTCTCGGTTAGGGAGGTGACCTCTGAATCCTGAAAGTGAAATCTTCCCCCTCAGAGTGTCCACTTCTGTCCTGGTTAACTTGAAGGAGCTGGATAGTTGGCATCTTTGGACCCATTGGTGATGGAAGTGAAATTGAGTCATGTGAACAAATATGCAGGTAAGACTTTTCTTTGGGATTCCATTTTGTAAGAGAGACAGCTCCCACTGGAAGACCTCAGGTTCCCTCACTG